TGCCTTTTTCTTAATAAACAATTGTGCTCATAATATAAATTCAGAAACAACTCATATAAAAAAAAAAATTAGTAAGGATAAACGAATCACATATAAGTATGATAAGTGTTTGTATTTAATTTTATTTAAACTTTTATAACATTTTTATATAATATAAAAATAATAGAAACATGATAATATCAATTTTTATGTAATTTTTAAAAATATAAATTTTGGTAATTAATTAAGAAGACCATTTAAAAATATTAATTTTTTATTGAGTAATATTTTTTAAATTTATTAAAAAATATCTTTAAATTTAACATCACAAAAAACTAATAAATACTACACCTCATATAAATTAATTGACTAAAGTAAAACTTCTGTTAAAGATTTTAAGAGGATAAAAATCATTATTAAAAATTGAAAAGAAAAAAAAAATAAGGAAGAAAACTTAAAAGGAGAATAGCTACACAAATCTCAGGTAGGCTAGGGTCTTTTTTTCAATTTTTATTTTTTTGTACACTAAGAAAATCACATTGATTGTTACTCAAATTATTAAGCGTTTATTTCATATATCTATCATATAAATAAAATTAAGTGTTAGATAAGTTTTTCTTTATATACATAGAATAAAAAAAATTAATACATTCTAGCATTAAAATGTAAGTAAATGAAACAAGGTACTGATATGATTCCTACATTAGCAAACAAATTCCAAAAAAATCTAAAATTTATAACCCTCCTCTCTTCTAATGCCATTGAGTCGACGTCTTCCTGATCATAGCTAATTATAATTTTGAGAAACATGCTTTTAAGCACTCCCGCGGATGATAATCACTTCAAACAAAACATGGCCGCGCTTTCCCTCAGTCTAAAACCTTAATTAATTCCTCAGACAAAACACCCAGATGGTCCAATGAGAATATGGGTACTCTGGATCGCTTATATCATCACAACTTTGTTAAGGGAGGAGAAATAAGGATCGTCCTCGTAATTAATAAGTTGTAAAATTAGAAATTTGTATATTATTA